TTTCACAATTCCTGATTAGGTGATTTCTGTATTTTACCAATATTCAATAACAATAAATCAAAGGATACAGATGAAGACTTGGGATTACAGAATGGTAAGAAAAATGGATTTAGAAGCACTGAAATAAACAGGTTGTGGTTAATCACTGAATGTTCATCAGCCCACTTTAAAACAATAATTTAACTACACTATGGATACTGATTACGAGTGCATACAGTTAGGACGTATATGAAAACTCATTTTGGGTAGAAATTCCGTATTCAAACCACAATTATTTGTTGAAACGTTTCTTTACAGTTGACTGACAGATATAAGCGATTTTCGAGTATTTTATTATGGATCTAAATGATTTCAAGTTTTATGTAATCACAAACAAGCTCTACAGTAGAGTTCATCCCTTTAACATTTTGCTGAATAATTTAATTCCCTACAGGTTGCTGATTGCGTGTTCTTCATCATGAATTCTAACATGAAGTACATCTAGTATTGTGAATTTCGCTTTGATTCCTTTAAAGCAACCAAAAAACTAAAATGATGACAAAATGAAGTTGTTCAAAAGGAATGAATATGCATTTTGGTAGCGTAGAAAGTAATCTACACGTTTAAGGCTGCGAACTGGGTAAGATTAACCGTACTGGTTGATCAGAAACGTATTTCTTGAGACGAAAACAATGACATTATTTGTGTTTTAACACGTATGCTTTCAGATAAACGAATGCATCTGGTTATGCGACTGACCACAGCACTAGTTTCTTCGACATTATTGACACATTTGTAGGTGGGCGATAATAGATTTTGTTAGAAACAAATGCACTGTCTTAACAAAAAAAGAAACCAGTGTTGCATCTATGCACTTATAAAGGAGAGCGGCTCAGGTGATACATAATAGCTGAGTGGTATGCCAGACATTGTGCTGTTTTGAGGGCGGCTAGACATAACGATAATGAGGAATGATAATTATACATTTGTTGCAAAAAGTCTCCTCCCAGAGGATTAACTAGTAAACGTCTCCGCTAGCAATTAATGATGAACCACTCATTTTTCTGTTATCGCCTTTCGTTACCGTTATATCCATAGACCATATTCTAATTTGTTTCCGCATTATTAAAGGGACACTCACTGCCTGATGCTTACTATGAATATACCCAACACATAGTTTAACTCACATTTATCACAAAGATAATAAAGATTTCAGGCCATTCTTCCCATTAATAAACTTGAACAAAGCAAAAACAACAATTGTACCAGGATAATATGAGCTCATCCTTTATTATTTCGAGGATTCTTCTCAACTTGTTACAACTTGAATGATAAAAAAATATGAAATTACATTAAAGACTTGAACATCTTTTTCCATGATCACAAGGAGTAATTGGTAGAAAGTAAAAGTAACATAAGTCCGGAATGATTTGACTAATTGAGTTACAAACACTGACTATTTATAGAATAATTAGACAATCAGGCGTGGAAACAATGTGACCAATGTCCAATAGATGATGCACAATCGCACTGTTAAATGATTGTGGACCTTTCAGTTTCAGGTTCTTTGGTATGTGTTCAGAAATGGGGACAATAACCCTTCTCTCTGTTCTTCCGATGCATGTGCTTTGGCACGTACATGTAAATTGGTAGACACAGTTGGAGGTAACATGAGGTGGGGATTGTCCACTTTTGGTTGTCTCAAACAACAAGTTGTTTGATAAACACATACAAGCTTGGCGGCTGGATATGTTCTTTTCAGGGCAGCGTTTAGTCTGCATCTCATTCTACCAGAGATAAGGGTTATTGTCCCCATTTCTGAACACATACCAAAGAACCTGAAACTGAAAGGTCCACAATCATTTAACAGTGCGATTGTGCATCATCTATTGGACATTGGTCACATTGTTTCCACGCCTGATTGTCTAATTATTCTATAAATAGTCAGTGTTTGTAACTCAATTAGTCAAATCATTCCGGACTTATGTTACTTTTACTTTCTACCAATTACTCCTTGTGATCATGGAAAAAGATGTTCAAGTCTTTAATGTAATTCAAATTTTTATCGTTTCAGGTTGTAACAAGTTGAGAAGAATCCTCGAAATAATAAAGGATGAGCTCATATTATCCTGGTACAATTTTTGTTCTTGCTTTGTTCATGAATGATGATTGTTTGTATACTTGTAAATAGCTGATGGCCATACAGTGTTGATTTTGACTGTATGTCAACTCACCGTAGATATCGAACCCCCTGCAATCGCATTTTGTGACAGTTTATGTAAACTGTTAGGCTAGAAAGTATTTTGTTGGTAGCTGCTACAATAACGAAGCTATAATGCATTTAAATATAATTATCCATACTCAAACAGTCTTCATATGCAAAGCACTGAAAAGCCGAATCGATATTCAAATATATGATAACTTTTACCATGATTCAAGTGAAGTTGACATATTAGCACTGAATATGATGAAATGTCTTTTCTGGATTTAACTAGTGACTACGTCCACATAAACCACATGTAAAGTAATGCTTTGTTCACGCGAAACAGTTTTTGAAACATGCTATCACACCATCCACTTCAAATAAAATCTGAAATGATTCTCGACTTGTGCATGTTTTATTGATGCTCTGAGAGTGACTGTGAGATTACTGTAGCAGAAATGCCAACAGTATATGCTTGTTTTAATGATTATTTCGTCTTACCGAAGATAAGTAGAATTAGAAAATATTGAGTGTGCTTTTCCTGAGTGCGAGTTTGTTCCACTTGAATTTTGGCTTTGCCAATATCAAGTTCAGTAATTCATAACTACAACGAATCAAACCGTTCGGTAATTGTTAGTTGTCTCACTTTACAAAGTCACTGAGGCACACGTCTCAATTAAACTCGAAGTCACGAACAACCACAACTACAATTGGAAGATATGAGTAAAAATTTCAGTTTTCATATCACCCGGCTGATCACTACCACAATATTTCTGTGAATAAACATTCACTACACTAAACAACGAACTTTATAAATGATTCGTGATGAATGAAATGAAATTCTGAATTTTAGACCAGTTTCACAGTCTAAACGAAGGGAACCGATGAACTTATCTTTTGTCATTTTTTGATTGGACACTAGTAACTAGTGTGACGTGTCTAGTCATTTCTTTGTTGCCAACTAGCATGAAACCGAGGTCGAATGCTTCCTGCCGATTACCTCCAACTATCTAATATTATCTATTGTCAGTTGACTTCTCTCTCACAATGCTATCAGAATAAACAATAAAGACCCAATCAATTGCGCGTTTAATCAAACAGTCTAGTGTTATCATAGACTCACTTAGAATAAGTGTCTGATGTGACAAGTTATCATAACCGAATCATCGTTACTAGGTTTTTACCCGGCTAATGATATCATTCTCAGTTATCTGTAGTAATACTAACGCAACTCACCTTCAACAATATTTGTCGAATGCGCATACCCAAACAAATGGCGAGGAATTTTTTCTGTCACGCGAAGCCGCTGTATTTCCATGATGGTGTATTCGATTCACTTATCAAAGATTGTTTAACATATACTAGTTAACCAGTTTTCATTCAAAATAAGTGATGACTGTAACTTTCCATCACCAAATAGGACGCTTCACATGACAAGTCAACCCAGACTCCTAGTAGCTGTCAGTCAGATAAGTAAACCGCATATCTGTGCGCTTTTGACGAACTGTTAATTAAAGAGATATGCTTATTTTCCTCACGCATTTATGTGTGCTTAAAATATATTTCCACCTTTCAAACTAATGAATTGGGTTTTACTACCTGTGTGTGTGCTTCTGTTATCATAATGCACGTATTGATATCAACATATCAGATAAAGACTCATCGACTATGTTCCCGTGAATTCATCGTCCTGCCGAAACCCAACATCTTTGAAACAGAATTTATGCAATGATCATTGGCAGCCTCAAACTCATATGTTCAACATATTAAACAGCTGCCATTCTACTATGAAATTTATGCTCAAAATAAAGAACTTGATCCATAATCCTTTAGACCTCCCTTCTGTGGAGTTATGTGGGCCCAAAAAACGCGTGCTGATGTCATTTCATTCCGACTCATCTATTTGTTTGAATATGTCGTTGAAATGGAGAAGCGACTACTACGTAGTATTGGATGTACTGGCAGAAATCATCTGGAGAAGATCGAATATCATTGCGATGATTCAACTTGAATTATATTAATTTTACAGCCAGAAACTAAACAAAATTATGGTAAAGATCTCTGATATATGCACATGAAATACATTCTGAATTCATACTCCCATGAAGCACTCGAGATACATCAACGTATTGACTTCGGAAGCGTTTACGTGAACGCTGTTTTTTTCAAAATAAAGAGTTGTCAGTGTTTGAAAAACAAGTTCAGCAGCACCATAATGGTCGCTATTTAGTCTACAAACATAAATTGGTATATCTGTTGAATTCAATCTACATCACACGTGTATGAATATATGAATCATTTATCACGATATATAATGAAAATAATTTAGAAAAAATTTCTATAGTTTGGTTTGTAAGGATTAGTTATGTTTTACGAGTTGATCACGGACTGATATCAGTTAGAGAACCATTGAAAACCAGGGAGTACTGGACAGCTGCTGTTTCATCCTAGTTTGGGAATCATCGGCAGTACGCATCCACTGAGATGCGAACCCAGGACCTTCTGGTTACAAGGCCAGGTCGCATACCATTCAGCCACTGGGACCCGATTCAATGGCTTATGAATTCTAACTTCTACCAATTTGTGATTTAGAAAAGTACCCATGGGATACTTTTTCATTTCAGTGAAGACTTCAGCATCAACAGTCATTTAACAAGGAATATTATTCTTCTTAATTCTGTTTTCCAGTAACTCGGCATTTTATACACACTACAGACTTACAAATAAAGAGACGGACCCGCCACAATTACACAGTTACTTCATTAGGAATAAATGAAATATGAATAAAAATGTAAAGTTGGAGAAACTTTTAATTTATGATTTCGTAATTCACGAGTTGAATGCAAAGTATAAGTTTTGTGTTTATCATTTGCTTTCTCAAATGAAGCATGCTGATATTGCTGCAAAGAGTGCAATACCTGCAACGAAGATATTCAGAATTTCTAAAATCTTCGGGAAGGTGGATGACAACTTTTGAAATCGTTTCTTGAATCCACTGACTGAAGCGAACAATATCTGAGAAAGGAAATACAAGGATTAGTCAAGCATTTATCTGAGATCATTAAAATCTATCAGAAATCATAAATACATTATAAATTATTTAAATTAATCCCAGCGTGTTAAGAAAATCAAAACAAAATTTTTCTGAACGTTTCACTGTGTAAGCCACAGCTTCTTCAGCAGATTTATTCGGATTTTTATTAATCATCAAAATATATAGTCAAAATTTCTTACATAAATTGAAGTCAGTTTATTTGAAGGTCATTTATCCATGGACATTTGTACCAATAGAAATATGTAAGCAGTCATCACATATATTTGTAATGACTAATGTCAAATTTTTGTTGTGTATATTTTTCTATAGTTGATTTGTAAAGATTAGTTTTTATGAGTGTGTGTATGTATGTTATTTTTCATACGGAAAAGACATCAATTCCGTTGTGATAAACATGATTATACATTTTTTAAAGGCCATGGGGGTTCGTAGAGGTCTTTGTGGTTTTTGATCTGTCTTGCTTCATTAGAATTTGCCATATAGGTGATAAGTCTATCCCTTCTTTCCTATTCACTGCATTCGATGTGGTTAAAATGTGCAAGGCTTCAGAAGTCAATCTTTCTTTATGTGAATGAAATCACCTTCCAAGAATTTCGACATTGTCGAAATAAACCTTATGTCCGCCGTCTATCGCATGCATTGCTATAGCCGATCTTTTTTCTAGACTTTTTATTTCTACTTCATTTCTGGGTGGACGTTTCGTGTATAGTCAATGTTCATTAACTCCGACCTTCACCTGTCTACTGCTCTCCCCTGTGTATACACAACAACAATTTGACATTAGTTTTTAAAAAGATATGTGATGACAGCTTATTTCTATTTGTACAAATGTCCATGGACAAATGACCTACAAATAAACTGACTTCAATTTATGTAAAAAACTTTTGACTATATATTTTGATGATTAATAAAAATCTGAATAAATCTGCTGAAGAAGCTGTGGCTTACACAGCGAAACGTTCATAAAAATCTTGTTTTGATTTTCTTAACACGCTGAGATCAATATAAATAATTTACAATGAATCAATCTGACTCGAAGCTCAAATTATCCCAGGAAGTTAGTAACACCTAAGGTCTGGAAACTTACAATCATAAATACAGTTTAGCAGCATTCTTGTGCACAGAAATATGATCAAGTGAAATTTGATAACTGGATGGTGTAATGTTCACTGTCGTCTCAGTAACATTTCCTTAACTGATTTAATTTAAAAGCGTTCTTTTGAATAACAACAATGAGGCCGGTGTTGAGGATTTTGCACATCTGCGTTAATGAGGTGATGCAGTCATTACTATGATATCAGTTTCAATATTGTGAACTGATTCGTACTACCAGTTAGGCAATCTATAGCCTCTTGAAATGACAGAATTCCCTATGCCCCTATGGCAGATATTATTATTTATTATTATTGTTCCCTTGGGTACCTAGTGGAACATAGGGCTTCAACTGCACGCCTCCACTTGCTTCTGTCTTCTGCTGTGCTTTTCACTTGCATCCATGTTAGTCCATACTGTCTCAACTCCTCTTCACATGATCTCCTCCATGTCACCCTCGGACGTCCCACTCGCCGCTTCCCTTTCAGGTTCCACTCGAGCACTGGCCTGACGCGCGATGTCACCCAACGGCCTCCTCAGCGAGTGTCCAATCCATCTCCACTTTCTCCTGCATATTTGTTGAGCGATTGGTTCCTGTTTTGTTTGTTCCCATAGCTTTTTGTTTGTGATTCTTTCCGACCATCTGATCTTCAGTAAAGAACGAAGACAGTTGTTGATAAAGGTCTGCAACAGGCTGTTGGAAATATTCTTGGTGACCCGCCAAGTTTCTGATCCGTAAAGCAAAATTGACTTGACAGTTGTATTGAAAATCCGAATTTTGTTGTTGATGGTGAGTGACGAAGATTTCCAGATTGGTTTCAGGTTGATGAATGTGTTTCTCGCCTTCCCGATTCTCGATTTGACATCCTCGTCCGTTCCTCCTGTAGTTGAGATAAGTGAATGCTCTAGATAAGTGAATGAAGTAGCCTCTTTCAAATCCCTCCCGTTGATGGTGATTGACGCTGGATGTTGCTGCTGCTGTTGTTGTTGTTGTTAGGTGGTTATTTTTATAACCTCCGTCTTGTCTATGTTCACTTGGAGTCCTGTCTTTGCTGCTTCTTCGACCAGTTTGTCGGTTTTCGCTTGCAAGTCTTCGATTTTGTGTGACATCAAACATAAATCATCCGCGAAATCCAGGTGTTCTAGGTTCTTCACGTCGGTCCAGGATATCCCTGTCTTCTCGTTTCCCACTGTCTGACGTATAATCCAGTCCACCACAATTAGGAATATCGTTGGTGATAATAAGCACCCTTGTTTGACTCCTGTGGTAGATATAATGCGCCATAATCAGCATCAGAATGGAAGCCAACTATTCCTAATCTAATGAATATCCTGATGTTATGAAGAAGACGTTTTTCTTCACTTAGTCAGAATTCGTATTTAGTGATTATTTTAAACCATAGCATGAAATCATATCATACAGATAACTGAAGGTAATATTATTTGTGAGGCATAATCCCACTAACCATGAATAGATTGTAATAATAACACACAAAACGCACATATTTCAAGCGGATTTATGATTCTACCAGACTGCCCAACTACACGTGAATTGTGTTTTGTCCATATGGTTTATTTCAAGAGTACTGTGAAAGAGAAATGAGTGTTTACTTCAGCTGAAATGTGATATTGGTCAGAAATTCTGACTTTCCTCTCAGTTTAGAAGAATTATTTGCAAATTTGTTTTCATGGGATTGCGATGTCCTTCTTGCAGAAGTATTATTTTATCAATTTTCACAATGACCAGTGTAGTGATAAGGAATCTAGAGCCATACTGATATTCTCAGATTTCATATTCGGTGAGTTTGGTAAGTTACGTATCATAGAGTGTTTGAATGATTTAATTTGGTATAGTCATGCGGTAATGGTGAGGCAACATTGGCATTTTAAAAACGATAAACTCAACATTTTAATGCATACAAACTAATTTTTGACTTAGAAAACTGATTTGAAACTTACAGTAGTTGCTGCAGAACACAGACATATACCCGCGAGAATTCTCAGATACAGCTGGAATAAGAAGAAGAAGTATCACGTTAGATGAGTGAAGGAGAATATTCTATAGCATTTGATAAATGAAGTGGATAATTTTTTTAATTAATGAAGGCAAAGTTGAAGGTGCACGGCATATGAGTTATTATTCTCTCGCGACAATTCGTACTAAGGTGTTTAGGAAAGATTGTTTCGCAATTTAATTATGACAACATTATGCTAATCTGACACTTTCGCTTTCTGCTTTATGCAACCAAGATTCACTACTGACGACAGGATCACTGAAGTACAATATTTATCTGTTATAAGAGTTGTTTGATAACGCAAACTTTAGTATGCACAAAATACTATCTATATGTCAGTTGTTTGTTATGACGCAACTGGAAGACAAGAGTAGGATTGAATTGTGTTCATGAAAGTCGAGTGAACCAAGTGAGTACTTTTTTCATACTGGATTTAATTCACTAGCTTATACTCAGCTGAAGGAAATGCGTTCAGTTTTAATCCTATGCTTATTATCATTATTATTATATCCTTTAATTCCTACAGGAACATAGGGCTTCAGCCGTGCGTCTCCATTGAGTTCGGTCCTCTGCTAGAGTCTTCACCTGGCTCCAAGTCTACCCACACGTTTTCATCTCCTCTTCACATGACCTCCTCCAAGTCACCCTTGCACTGACGACCAACTCGCCGCTTCCCTTTTGCGTTACACTCGAGCAATGGCTTGTCTAGTGATGTCACTTGATGGTTTCCTCAGAGTATGGCCAGCCCATCCATCTCCATTTCTTCCTGCCTATTTGTTTCACAATCGGTTCCTGGTTGGTTGGCTGATTGCCAGAGATCTCTGTTGCTGATCTTTCCTGGCCATCTGATCTTGAGTATTGAGTGAAGATAACTGTTAATGAAGGTCTGTAGTTTGTTTGAGATGCTCTTTATGACGCACTGGCCAAGTCTCTGATCCGTATAGTAGCACTGACTTCACATTGGAGTTGAAAATCCGGATCTCATTTTTGATGCTGAGAGTTGTTGACCTCCACACAGACTTGAGAGTAGTGAAAGCTTGTCTTGTTTTTCCGATTCTTGCTTTGATATCCTCGTCAGTTCCGCCTGTAGTTGAGACGATGCTTCCCAGGTGGGTAGGTAAAAGAGGTTGTTTCTTTCAGGTTCCTCCCATTTATTCTGATTGTTGTCAGTTGTTGTTGTTGCTGTTGGTGGTGTTGCTCAGGAATCTTCATCACTTCTGTCTTCTCTATGTTCACCTGAAGTCCTATCTTTGATGCTTCTTCTGCTAACATGTTGCTTTTCGCTTGCATATCTTCCAGTTCGTGGGAAATCAGACATATATCATCGGCGAAGTCCAGATCCTCCAAGTTTTTTGTGTGTGTCCATTTTATGCCTGTTTCCTCATTGCCTGCTGTTTGTCGCATTATCCAGTCTACTGCAATCAAGAAAATCATTGGTGATAGTAGGCAGCCTTGTCTTACTCCTGTCCTCACTTCGAAGGGTTCCGTAAGTTTCCCATTGTGGATTACTTGGAATGCAGCATTGTCGTATAGCTGTTGGATGAGATGTATAATTGTCGGTGGATCCTATGCTTATATGTGACCTAAATTTAAACATGGAAATATAAATTACTCTTAGACTGTGTCTCATCATAAAACACAAGCAAAACCCAGCCATTCAGTCCTTGCAGACATGATCATAGGTACTGCATGCAGAGATGTAGAAGATAAGGCAGTATTGCCAATATTATCCCAAACATCTACTGCTTGCTTTAATAATGAGCTTCATCAATGGTGTTCGAAGAATTTAGTGTGACTCAATCTCAAATGACGTTTACGTTATAATGTGAATGTTACAACCATTTCAACCTTCTTGATATAAGCAGAAACTGAAGAAAGAGACGGAATTATTGGACAAAATGTTTGTACAGAAGAAGAGTGAGTGAGCCAATACTCATATTATAATCCAATTGGTTACTGCATCTAGCGGGAATACTGGTCAGTAGACTGAAGACTTTATGTTCACAAATAATATTGATTAGGCGTCAACAATTATTAAAAAGAATCCTATATAAAGTCGATAGCCAGAACTGTTCATAAAGAAACATGAACGACTTTCACTCTCCTAACTGTATTCATTATTAATTCTACATTTCACCAAATTGTTTGTTTGTATAAGTAATTTCCAACACTTCCCTAATATATCTTTTCACTAACAATCTCGACTTGAAGTTTCCCTCTCAGTTGGAATAATTCAGAAGTACGTCATACCATACTGCAGGTTGTACAAAATAATTATAGAAATTCAGTAGCGTATAAGCATTTTCCACTATTATTATAAGTGTACAAATTTTGAAGTGGTGAACGAGTGCATAAACTTTTCAAGAGTTAATTTTTTGGCATTCCATTTGTTTAAGTATGATCACAAATCGTTAGAGGTTATTATCCCAGTTTCATTGGAATGAGTCCCAGTGGCTGAATGGTCTGTGAGCTTGCCCTGTAATTGGAAGGTCATGCATTCCAACCACAGCAGGTGTACAGTGTTGATGGGCGTTTTGTTTTTCCTTCACGTTACCCACTGGAACATAGGGCTTCAAGCCTGTGGCTTGAAGTTTCTGTAGCAATGTTTATTTTACAGGATGGGGTTGCTAGCCTCATGCCCAACCTTTCCTCTTCACCAGCATTATTTCTGGCTTAGCGAGGAAAAGGAGTGCCTTGTCGGCCAGGGGTCGAACAACGGACCATGTGCATGGTCGGCGAGCGTCCTAACCGCCAAGCCACCGATGATGGGTGTTAATTGGGACAAAACAGCTGTCCAGTGGTCCTCTCTTTTCCAGTGGTTCTCTAACTGATGGCAAAAATGCCATCAAGTGTAGCCTGAAAATAACAGTCTTTAGCTTTAAGTGACTACTTTCTGCAGATGACGTTCTCTTCTTGACTGTGGTCATAATATCTACTCATATCATTGTTATTATTATTAGATTCCTGGAATTGAAAAGTGTTACTCTAAAGGATACGTAAATAGTAAAGACATATTTCGGAAACGATGCGTGTCACAGGTGGCTGATTTCGATATGGTTGCATTCTCTGAACTAAGTGGTTCACCCGCGTAGCATTTATTGTATTTCTAGACCATAACTTCAGTGCAAACTTCAACACAAATATAAAAATAAACGAGTGTATACATTAAAATATTACCACATGAAAAAAATCATTAATTATTACTCACTGTGTCTCGAAAGTAAAACAGAATCAATCCCGAAATGGCAAGTACAGATGCTGTTGTCAGAATTATGATTAATCCCTTTCTTGTCAAATTATTCAACTTCGAACAGACAACAAATACAATTGCTGAGATCACTACTGTTACTCCAAGTGATATAAGATAGGAGACATAGTCGTGATACAAGTATCCAACACTCACACACAATGAAATAACCTGAGTAGATAAATAAGCGGAATTTAAATATTAATTTTACATTCTCATTGCACGAAACAAAAGATTAGGAAGCCGAGATATCTGATAAGGAGATAGGAAATTTCTTTTGTCACCTTATAAACTGTTTGGGCACTATATGTAATGTGTAGTGTCTGTTTTCTATGTTAAAATCGTCACAATGCGAAATCATACAGAGTTGAAACATACTGCTGAAGAGAATCAAATAAGGAGGAACAGAAGAACTGCCCAGTTTTCACCCTCTACTCATTGATTCTGTGACTGATATCAATCCATATAGAGAATTAAAAATCTCCATGAAACTGAAAAAGAGATTAGGACAGTTTTCTTAAAAATACTAAGTGTGTCCCCTCTGTAAACGAGCCTGTTACAATTCTGTGAAATTCCACATTTCTGATGGAGCGTCTTCCTTTGAATATTAATTACTATGTAATCATAAAGTTATTCTATAATAAAGAATATGATCAATCTGAGTTGCATTTTCCTTCATGAAAGAGTGCAGTGTTACTCATAATAAAATCTTCCATTGCCAACACTGTTAAGTCACATGAAAATCTTGAAATATATACTCCAAAAAGAGGCATTTGTGAAACGGTATATTAAAATACACTGTGTGATAGCGATCGGCTTTATATAATCCTGCTTTCCATCATCAGAATATTTGCTGCTTTGTAAAAAGTAATATCCTGGATGTATGATGGTATTTCATTTGAAGAATATCTCAGTATTTGACATGAAAATGATAGAATAATTTGTTATAGTTATTTGAACTCAACAGGTGAAGATAGGTAATTGGAGTTACGTAATACAAAATCAGTCAAGAAAATTAGGTGTTAATGAAATTAGGGTAGTAACTAAGGTGATGAGTTGTCACAAGCAGTTGTTAAGAGAAGTTATGTAATAATATGAATAGTTTGATGAGTGAGGTTTACTCAGGATGCACATAGGAGCAAAGTAGATAATACGAAATTACGTAAGAGTTCTAAATGAATACAAGAATTATAAGGAATTAAAGAACAGGCAAAGAAACAAAGTTAAGTCGTCCAAATCAAAATATCAAATCAAATCAAAAACGTTGTTACCAAGACAGTAGAAGTGGTTGAGTAATCCTCTTTCGTATGCACAGCTCCAGGTTTTCTATGTGAATGGCCAGAGCTTCAGCGATACAAAGAAGACGAAACCGTATTACCTTTGATGGGTTACTCTTGACTCTGTAGATTAGTTTAAAGGAGGCGTTTGTTGAAATGGAATGATCAGTGTTAACCAGGTGTTCAACTATCGCACTCATTATTTTACCACTATTGCCCTTTTGCGACCATGATGGATATTGTTCTTGAATCCTCTTCGACAGGGTGCACGTCGAACGACCGATGTACCTGGCTCCACAGCAGCAGGTGAACTGATATATGCTTATAATTCTTGTATTCATTTAGAACTCTTACGTAATTTCGTATTATCTACTTTGCTCCTATGTGCATCCTGAGTAAAACTCACTCATCAAACTATTCACATTATTACATAACTTCCTTTGACAACTGTTTGTGACAACTCATCACCTTTGTTACTACTCTAATTTCATTAACACCTAATTTTCTTGACTGATTTTGTATTACGTAACCTTAATTACCAATCTTCACCTGTTTAGTTAAAATAACCATAACCAATTGTATTTTTGTTTGACAAACTCAATGTACACATACATACAGAATAATTTGTAGCGAAGCGGATAATACAGAAATTAATAGATAAATGTGATGACTAAACAATATTCACCATGAATTCTTTCAACGACTATTGATTTATTTGTCATGAGAATTTCTTGAGCATAAGGATTCAGACACATAAAAATGCTCATTCAGCTAAACATATTACTTACTAAAGTTGCACACACGAGTTTTGTCTGTTGTCCATGTACATGTCAACTTACCACAAATATCAGTGAAATGTAGTTAAGAGGACAAGTGCTCCTCATTTTCTCAAACAGACGTAAAGCAGCGTACACACAGAGTCCGCATATTCTGAAACAAAAACACAAATTCAGTAGTAATCTGGAATTAATATTTTGACCGCATGCTGTGAAACTATTTATCTATGTGGTGGCACAGTGGTTAGAACTCTTGCCGACCATGCACACGGTCCGGGGTTCGATTCCCTGCCGACGCACACCTGATATCAATGGTCGACCTGCAAAATTTGGGCTACTGATATCACATGCTGAAAATTCCATGCCTGTACCAAAAATACGGTGTGAAATCAAGCTATAATCAAAGTTAAATGTATCAAATGAAATATACCAGATCAAAAGTTGTGAAGTGGATACGTAGTAATTGACCTCTTTGAAATTGACACTATATGCGTATATGAGTGTGCAGAAATTTGTTCAGTTTTTACTGTGATAAGTGACACATGTTAAGAAAGTAAAAGATGATACAGTATAATGGTGAAATCTCTCAGTCTGCTTTCAGTGCATCTTGCTGAATGAAAATGAAAACTAAACAGATCAATATTTGTGAAATGGATGGATAACTCTTGGTCAGAAGCATCATAAAAATCAGGAAGTCACATCGTTATGCTGACATGCTTTATTGTGATTACAATGAAACTTACAGGAATATATATGTGGAAATATTGTACCTAAAGTGCAAATCGTGTTATAATGGAAAACAACTTGTGTATTACTCACCCTGTATTTGTTGAGTAATAGAAGGCCGAGAGAATCATTGACATTGTAATGAATGAGTACTGTGGGGAAGAGTATGCAGTCAGAAGAAGTTTTGTTGCTAATAGGAGGATTAAAAAACGTCAGTGTCACCAAAAACTGTGCTATTCTCCAAGCTGTAAACAGTCATCAATTAATTGTTAGTCACCTTTGTATTCTAATAAATAACAAGAATGACAATTTTTCTATATTACGATTAAATTAAACAGAGCACTCAGAGAAGTGAAGTATTGGAGAAGCACTGATTCACATAAATCACTTGAGGCATGAGATATCTGTTAGCTGTAAGAGGATAATATTCGTAAAAATATACTTATATGATAGCCATTTGCGTGTCGTGGCACAGCGGTTAGGATACTCGCCGACCATGCGAATGGTCCAGGGTTCGATCCCCGACCGATGCACTCCTTTACCTCACTAAGCCAGAAGTAAAGCTGGTAAAGAGGAAGGGTTGGGCAGGAAGCTAGCAACCCCATCCTGTGAAAATAAAACTTCGCTACAGAAACTGCAGGCCACTTGCTTGAATCCCTATGTTCCACTGGGAACGAGAAGGAATAAAAACAATAGCCGATTGCACTTCATAATTTTTTAGATGAATAAGATAGGCTGAAAATCCATCTTTTTATACATTATTCCATGCGTATTTCTATATATAAACTTTGGCTTATGTCTAGTGTAAGAAGATTAGGGATAATTAGGTTTTTGGGATAGGTCAGCTGGATGTACGCACCGTCAGCTTCACGACTAGTCCCCAGAAAAATAGTGTGTTATTTTGCCGATCTGTGTCAGCTGAATAAATGACAGCATTCTGATGGCACTGGTGTCATATCGGGATTTAAAGGTAATGGATTTTTCTAACATAAGTACGGTTTGGTTTGTGGCCTAAATGGTTAAACAAGTTTAGAAATTTAAGGATTATCTGGAAGTTTTCAATTCACAAATTAATCTGGTGAGTAATTCGTAGCTATCACTAGCAGAAACATATGAGACCTATGCGAAACAAAGAACTTAATACTCTCCACTTTTGAATAATTAATGAAAATATTACCTCGCGTTCAGTGTTGTCAATGAGATGGTTTACGAATGTACTGTGGGGCTACATTATCTCTCAGAGAAGAAAATTTTATTTCATCTTTCCAGTAATCAATCAAATCAGGGTTTATAATATCAAATTACATAACAGTTATATGAGAATATGATCTTTGAAGGAATACATGACATTAAAACAAGTAAAGTGATGAAATCTGTTTTACATCTGCTGAGCAAATGAACAGAACATCTGAGTACATTTAGAAAATATCCAGTGATTGTGTCAATAGATTTATACGGAAAGTGCGGAATCTGTTATTTATTAATGACGGTGTATAATAATGCATAAACCAGTCATAATTTTGCTGCAAAACAGATGAGTTCATTGAGAAATATTTATGTTATTCAGCAATTAATGCTCAGCATCGCTCTTATTCCCTACAATCGAACTCAATGAATTCTGCACTCAAATAGGAAGAATATGTCGTCATTTTCATAAAGAATTTATTAAACTCGATGAACTGCTCTCACGTCTTTTAAAAAGAATCTTGATTACCGCTGAAGTAGGGCTTTGAATTAATATTATTATTTCCTTTAATTCCTAGAGGAACATAGGGCTTCAGCCGTGCGTCTCCATTGCGTTCGGTTCTCTGCTAGAGTCTTCACCTGGCTCCAAGTCTGCCCACACATGCTTCCATCTCCTCTTCACATGACCTCCTCCAAGTCACCCTTGCACTGATGACCAACTCGCCGTTTCTTTTTCAGGTTCCACTCGAGCAATGGCTTGTCTAGTGATGTCACTTGATGGCTTGTTTCCTCAGAGTTTGGCCAATCCATCTCCATTTCTTCCTGCCTATTTGTTGCACAATCGGTTCCTGGTTGGTTCGCTCCCACAGGTCCCTGTTGCTGATTTTTCTGGCTGGCCATCTGATCTTGAGTATTGAGCGAAGACAACTATTAATGAAGGTCTGTAGTTTTTTTGAGATGGTCTTTATGACGCGCCAAGTCTCTGATCCGTATAGTAGCACTGACTTCACATTGAAGTTTAAAATCCAGATCTCATTTTCATTTTCATGCTGAGTGCTGTTGACCTCCATACAGACTTGAGAGTAATGAAAGCTTGCCTTGCTTTCCCAATCCTCGCTTTGATATCCTCATCCGTTCCGTCCGCCTATACTTGAAACGATGATTCCCAAGCAGGTAGGTAGGCAAAGGAGGTTGTTTCTTTCAAGCTCCTCCCATTTATGCTGATTATTGTCTGCTGTTGTTCTTGTCCAGGAATCTTCATCACCTATGTTTTTTTTATGTTAACCTGAACATAGTGGCTCGTAAACTACTTGTTGAAATTTTGTCAGAATACATCCTTCTGCCCTATCTTCTACCATCATCATCATCATCAGCCTGCCTATATGAGACTTTCTCAGACGACATCTCCAGAAAACTAAGTAAATACTATATGTCAAAGAAATATTCATAAAAACTCTGATGAACTCACAGTGTAGCAGCAATGTATTGAATGCTAATAATTCCATAGACTGGTTACCAGAAAATTTATATTTTACCTGTTTATATAGATTAAACTTTGTGAAAAAAACACTGTTAAGACAAAGTTTTGACAGTAAACCCTAAAAAATTAGCATAATGCAAATTTTGTCTATTTAATTTCTACTGCAAATAAATTATGATCATTGCGGCTTTCATTATGTCTGTAAAACGTGGTCACGATCAAAATTTACATGAATTGTATTCTTACTTTAGTATTTATGCTGAATAATTAGACGAATAAATTTTTCTGTCTGCTTTGGTGAGATAAAATTTAGAATTTCACATGCCTGTAGTAAATATCTTCTCTGAATTTGAAGGTACGAAAACTACTTGATGGTTGGAAGAAAGGCTGGTCAAATTGCCAAAGAAGGGCGAATTAAGGATCTCCAAGAACTAGCGCTGAGTCAATCTCTTGACCATCTGAAGCAAAATATTAGATCGCATAATGCTGAGAAGACTGAAGAATTCCCTGGATGCTAAATTACGCTTTACAAGACTCTAGGTCCAGAAAACACAATTGGAAGCAGTTTTTTCTTCAATTCTAATGATTTCGAAAGAAGCTTTGACAGTACCAGCCACGAAGCAAATAGGCGAGTGTTCATCTTCACCTAGAGTGATGTAGCGCACAAGTGAAAGGCTCAATCGATCTCTGTATGATGATGTCAAGTGGCAAGTGATTCACAGCAGGAAGCCCACCGAAGCGTTTGGGAATGTAGTCCCTGACGCTGCTCCACTTACTTGTGGACCTGATTTCAAGCCAGATTCCCCTAACACAACCATCTGTCTCAGTCTGAGCATCCAGGCATTATCCCAGGCCTCGCAAAGATTATGAGACAACATTCCCATAGGAGATTGTAATTGTGCAACAAATATCATAGATTACAATAACATTTTAGCACTGGGATCCTTTTTGACCACTTTTGCGCATAAATCTTTGTATTTCATGTTTACCAGCCTAAAACGTCGCCGTACCCTAAATTTTGTCTGCTTTAACACATCTTTTTTTGTTTTGTTCATGTATCCAGGTAGATGTGTGTGTTGAGGGAAGTTCGACCAAAGAAATTTGCAGTCGAATAGTGCAAGCTTCGTTGGCATACACCAATTCAAACCACCACTGGCATTACCGCGGCGTAGGCATGGCTGTCAGTGGTCAGGTTTACAGTGCTTCTGTACACGCAGTGTTACTCTGCACCTAAGAAAATTGAACTCTTAGATCTGAGGATGTGCTGCAACTCAGCGCGTTCGATCGTTGCTCTCTGGGTAGAACTGCTTGCGTTTATTGAAATCACTGCCTGAATAACACCATTCTCTGAGTGTGTTTTATTTTGAAGCACTAGCTTTCATGGCTTGGACATGTATTACTAATGTCATCCCAGAGAATTTCATACCAATCGCTGTTATCTCGACTGTGGAGTAAATGAAAATGCGAAGAGGTAGTCAGATCATGACATGGCGACACTGGATGAAAGACGTTTGTGTTAGATCAGTATTAGTCGGTAAACTGCATTTCCCTAGTTGGGATACTAGGGATAATTCGGATTGGTGGTCAAGAATAGAAGTCAGAGGCAAATTTTCTGTAATTTCTCTTTCAATTCCTGTATGAAAAATGAAATGAAGAATTTTAAATAATAATTTGCTTTGTTCCAAAATAGTAAGTGTTACAGTGTAGAATATTTAGCGTTTGTTGCAATATTGAATCAAATTTTATCGAATAACATTAGAAGCAATTAAAAAGATACTATTACAGGATTGTTAATGGCAACTCTTATTTGATATTAGTAGTGACAGTAAGATCATAAACATGCGGAAATTGTAGAATAATGATAATAATGTTAGCAGTTAAGATTATCATTCATTTGTATCGAACAACATTAAAAACAATTTTGGGTATAATATTACAGGATTGTTATATTAGTAGTGTTTATCTGGTATTTGTGGTGACAGAAAAAATCATAAATAATAACTAATGTTAGTGGCTAAGATTGTCAGTTAAATGAGGTAGTGTCACCATACATTATGAATAGGAGATAACAAAAAGGCCAATAATTGTCAGCTCATGATGTAATCCTCCATGCAATCAAACAAAATCCCTACAAAACCAATACTTGAAAATTAATCTGATGCTCACTGGCCACTGGCCCTATTCAGTCAGTTAACCTGGGGTTCTAGTGGGAAGCCGTGAACAGTAGGGTACAGCAGGTCAAAGATGAGGCAGTAACTCATCGCAGAAGACATTGCGAAATGGTCGCGCTATGTCGTGAATAGGCAAAAGTTAGAATTAAAGAACCATTGGGTCGGGTCCCAGTGACTCAATGGTCTACGAGCTCGCCTTGAAACCAGAAGGTCCTGGGTTCGAACTCCGGTGGGTGCGTACTGAAGAGGATCCCCAAACTAGGACGAAACAGCTGTCCAGTACTCCCAGGTTTTCCAGTGGTTCTCTAACTGATGTCAGCTCAGGATGAAATCCTCCATTCAATTATTTAGCTAACAATATAGTTATTCACAGATTTAACGGTTTACATTGTCTTAATCGCATAGAACAGGGTTCAAATATGATATCGGAAGTAAAACTTTTGATGATGTCTCGAAATAGCTTCAATAATACTTCAAGTATCACTATCGAGAGTCTTGTCTCCACTTCATTCTGATTCCGTTTGTTTCCTGAGCTATAAAAACAATTTTCTATAGAATTTATTTTCAAGTATCTAACTGGTGGATGGTGAATAGCAGTAGAATCCAGGATGAGAATTACGTTCGATTTGAGAATCTTCAGCTGGATGTACCTGCATTCCACAGTGAGTGATAGTGACATCTTTAATTATGCATTTGTACACACATTCAAGGAGTAAGTGGAGAATTCAGAACATACGAATTGAAATTGAATTCGTGGCATTTTCATCGGTGAATTATGCTAAACAATCGAGTGCTTTTTATTGAATAAAATTATTCCGTTATGATATCAGTGATGAAATTTGATTTTAAAGCGACCAGTAATTCGAGGTCAGTCAAATTATTAGAAAACAAAACCCGTAGATCACCGAAGAGTCTCTTTTCGGCGAATTCATTTTCTTAGCTGTACAATCGCAAATATATATGTGTCATTTTGAATGTATGTGCACATTAAGTTTGTCAAACAAAAATACAATTGGTTATAGCTATTTCAACTCAACAGGTGAAGATTGGTAACTGGAGTCACGTAATACAAAATCAGTCAAGAAAATTAGGTGTTAATGAAATTAGGGTAGTAACAAAGGTGATGAGTTGTCACAAACAGTTGTTAAAAAAGAAGTTTTGTAATGATATGAATAGTTTGATGAGTGAGTTTTACTCAGAATGCACATAGGAACAAAGTAGAAAATACGAGATTACGTAAGAGTTCTAAATGAATACAAGAATTATAAACAATTAAAAAACAGGCAAAGCAACAAAATTAAGTCATCAAAATCAAAAAATCAAATCAAATCAAAAAAGTTGTTACCAAGACAGTAGAAGTGGTTGAGTAACAACTTTTTTGATTTGATTTGATATTTTGATTTTGATGACTTAATTTTGTTGCTTTGCCTGTTTTTTAATTGTTTATAATTCTTGTATTCATTTAGAACTCTTACGTAATCTCGTATTTTCTACTTTGTTCCTATGTGCATACTGACTGAGTACAACTTACTCATCAAACTATTCATATTATTGTACAACTTCTTTTAACAACTGTTTGTGACAACTCATCACCTTTGTTACTACCCTAATTTCATTAACACCTAATTTTCTTGACTGATTTAGTATTAGGTAACTGCAATTACCAATCTTCACCTGTTGAGTTGAAATAGCTATAACCAATTGTATTTTTGTTTGACAAACTTAATGTGCACATACATTCAAAATGACACATATATATTTGCGATTGTACAGCTAAGAACAATAATCAGTTTAACCTTAGAATGATTGATCACAGAATGAGGAACTCAATAATCACAGAGCATTCACTTAAACACAACCACACAATAGGGTGGAGGAAAAGCTAAATTTCTAAGAGGTAATATAGATAGGTGTAAGAACTGATGAATCAGTGAATTTTCGTTCATCGAATCTTAACCTAACGCTTGTGACAAAAGTGGTGCAGCACCAGTGCGAAATGTTTTACTACTTACAAGCCGGTGACCGTATAAGAATACATGGAATTAAAGAAACCTTTGTTGAAAAATATTCGATTACCATCATACAACAGTGAGGAATAAAATTGTATGAGAAACATTACCATCAAATAACACTCACTCTGACATGCAGTGTTTAAATTTTTTTAGGATAACAAGCTTGAGTGATTTCATTGTACTCACCTTCAAGGAAGGCTAAACAATTTGAATCCTAGAATATCTTCATAAGAAAACATTATAAGCAATACTAAACTGCACTGGAGAAACATAGTGGCATGTTGATGAAATTCATTAGATACGGTGGCATGGAATTTGTTCTTGTTAAAACGAGATCTCGACTGAATGAAACGCTGTTGCATACACTGAAGTCTTTGAGCTGACCAAGTTTTCATAGACGAATTAAAACGAATTCATCTTGCTTCATTTACAAAGTGTGTTCGAAACACAAATACTGAATTATTATGATTAATTTTCATCACTTGAATTTCGAGTGTAGCATAGATATTCAGCACCATATCTAAATTTCACTCTTCTATCCTCTATTTTCTCAGTTAGCTAAGCTTTTGCATGCAAGCTTCGATTTTTTTTCAGGAGTCAAACCCATCTCTTGCAATTAAGGTTTCACTCGATGTGCTGCTCAGAATGTGTGATATCAATCAGCAATCTGCTCATCAAGTTTTCAATCAATCTCGCCTTGATAAAATGCTGTTTTCTATACTGAAGTGGTCGCACTAACCAAGACCACACAGTCAAAGATAAACAAAGCCAAACTTCTGTTGTTTCACGATGAAAGTATCCTTTGGGAGAATTATTTAATTGTTATATTTGCTCCTAACATCTTTAAAATAAAATTATTTTCAAATAACAGAAGTCAGGTAGATGGGTTATGTTACATTGACCTTATGTTTTTCTAAGTTTTTCTCACCACTCAGAATTTGATCATTTATTCATAAGAGAACTTTAATTGGGATAAGACATTTAAATAAAGCAAGAACAACAGTGGTTTGTGCAGAATAATATGGTACCATCATTTATTTCGTCGGCTTCTCATCAGCTGCTTACAGCCTAAATAAATTGTGAGGTTGAGGTACAGAAAAGTTTTAACATACTTGCAAATGTTTACGTGTTGTCAGTTGACAGAAAGTTCCACGATCAGCGAAAAGTGTTCAGAAAATTGTGCTTATATAGTTTTTGCACAGGCAGTTCAAGTCAAAATAAATGTATGCATACAGTGGTAAAGGAGTTACGTAATAAAGACAAGAGATAAGTGAGATGATGAGTAACTAATAAATTTTGGTAACGATGTACTGAGTTCAAATCACGTCATAGAAACAAGAGACAAGCAATATTACAGATTATAAAAAAAGGGGCGAGTTCAAAGACAAAGATTACGTAATCAGAGTAGAGAATAAAGACAAGTCACTCAGTGAACTCTTTGAAATTTGATCTTTCACACTATTCAAATTGGTTTTTAGTGTGTCCCATGTTTCAACGAAACTCTGACGCTGTGTTTATCGAGTAGTTTTCTGATATTGTCTAGTGCATCTGATGTATATGGAATGACAATTACTGAGGTTCAAGCCGTCGGGATATTTTTTCGACCATGTTTAGTGTTGATATTGATATTTGTAATGAAATAATTGCAGAGGATTTTTCTCTTCTTTTGAGAGTGTCGATGATATTTCATATTTCTTCTCTGCTTCCAAGATTAACCAAATGCTGTGAGACTGACTGTTTAGTTTCACCAGGAGTTTACGAAATGAGAATCGTTTAACTTCAAGAAAGAGATCATCAATGGTCTTTAGCCATATTTCATGTGTGAGTATTTTTGATAAATTACCTTCAAGTGTATTTATGAAAAGATTACCAACTATTGGTTAAACTGGTAAATCGACAGCGACACTATTAGTATACAAACAGAATTTTATGGTTCCAAATATCTCGCTGGTGTTTGTTGGAGTCGTGAATGATTCTAGTAAACTGAAATTGATGTCAGGACGTTTGTTGATGATAGTGAAACTCTCCATGTTAGTCTTGAGTAAACAGACTGGTACAAACATGATAACTAAAACCGAAAATTCATTCATTTAGAATTGCAACAAGAGAAATTTAATTTGACAATGCATAGTAGTCACCATCGACCATAATGCACTGGAATTTCGACACCGATTTCCACTCAAGTGATGCATCAAACTGCGTATCCGACTTCAGGATAAACACCATGTTAGGTGAAGTATTCGTCACCATAGAAGAATAAAAATAGATTTCAGATGACCACTGAAAATATTATTGCTAAGAATTGGAGTCAAACATCGACCCTTTGGCCTGCTTACACATTGTTGTACAAAGCTGATTATATAAGATAGACTCCACCTTTCTCGAATCAATCTATTGAAGAAGAAGAAATAAAATCGCTCTTCATTTACCAATGTGTCGTGTCGGATTACAAAACAGACAAAAATAATGATAATACTCTTTTTGTTTCCTTCACGTTCTCCACTGTAACATAGGGCTTCAAGCTAGTGGCTTGAGGTTTCTGTAGCAGTGTTTATTTTACAAGATGGGGTTGCTAGCCTCATGCCCAACCTTTCCTCTTTACCAGCATTATTTTTGACTTAGCAAGGTAAAGGAGTCCGTCGGCCGGGGATCGAACCCCGGACCATGTGCATGGTCGGCGAGCGTCCTAACCGCTATGCCACCGACTCTAGATTACAGTTCTTAAGAATAATGAATTATCAGAATATGCAATTATTTGAGGATACGTTCCAGTGCACTGTTCACCCATTTAATAACATAATCCGAAGATCCACACGTAGTGCAGTGTGATTCATTTTCACTGTATGTTTGCTAAATAGATTGTAGAGTCTTTCTCGTTTGAGAATATGAGTTTCCTGTGAGTTTAAAGAAATGCAACCAGGCAAGAAAAGAGAAAATGAACATGACTTGAGGGCCAAGATATATATCTACTATTCGCTGCATGATAACTGTATTTCCAAAACATTTACCAATGGTCTGAATGAATATTTCAAACGTGGTATATTTACACAGTCTTTTTACAGGAAGGAACATCATTAAGTTTAACTTTCAACAAGGTCTGTACAAAAGCATCTTTCTTCAATTCACACATAGACTATTATCGAAATTGTGCTTTAAAATCACATATCACTTGGTTGTAATCAAACGAAAATAACAGAGGATAGCAGTACATTCTCATGAATTCAATGACTCCTGTGTCAATTCGCCTTAATCTAAGCAGAATCGAAATTGAGGATATTGACAGTGCAGAGTTTGTTCTAGGGTTTTCGAACATGAATTCTATTTAACGTTATGAAAACATTTAGAAATATCTGAAAAATGTGATTTGATAGAAAGAGATTTATAGGCGGCTAAATATCTTTTATTCATCAAAGGGAACATATTTAGTTTGAGCGTACTACAAATAATGTATTTTCAAAGAAAATGTTTTTTTTTCTCCGTAATGACGTTTCACAGTTGAAATGAAGTCCATGAAATTCATAAACATACACAATGATAGTGATGATTATCGTACTTTGGTCATAGTAATAATTTAACTAGCAAATTCAAATTATTCTGAGCTTTTGTTTTTTAATTTTGTTAATTAAACTTTTAACTCACACAGTTTTTCATCAGAAATTAATTAATTTAATCAGATCAGATATGTTATAAATATCGCTGAGATCAAACTATGAACTTAGTCGTTCTTTATACTACTGTACAGCTAAACTGTAAGTTCATCATCACGATTTATTAATAATTCTTTAAAACGTAATATTCAATTTTGTTTATGGGACTATATGATATAACTTTGAATAGGCAGATTGACATTGATAGAATGAGCGGTGACTGAAGATGAAATGAGAAACAGCATTCTTACAGGATCTCAGTCAGCAAGTGGCCTTCCAGCCAGCTACATAAAAAGTGTAATTTCAGTGGTATTCAAGACTGCTCAAAAGTGACATGGATTTCTAGTCAACTGATTCATCAAGTTTTGTATAAAACATTATAGTGTAAACACCACGTTATCTTCACTTTTGAGTGAGGTATTCATTAGGACAAATTGTGACGGGTTAGAATATATCTTGCTTTCAGATTAACATTTGAAATTACTTTCAGTGACATTTCCGGTTATACAGTAATAGTCTGAGTAGTGAACACATACATTCTTATACACAGTTGCTTATTTGCAACTGACTGCCATCTTTATGGATCACACCACTGAAGAAGTTACAAAGAACCCTTCTGCTATCTCTCATTGCTATCCTTTTCTTAAGCAGTCGTATTCTCGCTTAGCCTACACATATCTGTACAGTACACAGTGCGATTCATTTGATTGTCGGGAAGGATAAGTCAAATTTCACCTCGAAACATTATTGTATACTTATTATCTGTACTCCAAAATGAGTTGTCTAGGTTTTTATTATTATATTTCTAACTTTAAGTAAGTTTACATGCAGGCCATGAGTATTTATCAATGTGATGAGGATTATTCACCTTTAGTAATCCTACATTAGATGAAATATATTCAGACAAATATCGTATGAATTAGTATTTGCAAAATATACACTTATATACAAGTGTGAATGTTAATTTATACAAAATTCTTTGGAATAAGCCTAACTTCAATGTCACTGTATTTTCTTCGATATTATAGAAAACAGAAAACACACATTTTGAATCATTCGGAGTTCACCTGTCGAAGCTATCTGTTTGATTCAATCAGAATATTGAAAAGTTAATTCACGGAAATATTAACAGCGACCTCTTCGATTCCAGTCTTCTGACAAGCTGTTCTTCTCAAGACAGTATATCATCATTTATTAAAGGTGAAAGTGATCAGTAAATATTTGACAATTATTGCTTATAGATTCTGCGGATACTGTCTACGCTGAACTATCTAACGGAAACGCTTTCTTGCACAATCTTCAGTCTTCACGATGTTGACAAGTTTTTTATCCTCCTTTTATACAATCTTGTTGAATATAGGGTACGTAATATTCCCTTCGTAACCTAAAATAATCTTCGCTTGCATTTTAGGTTCGACAGATTGGCATTTATTATTTTGTAAGTTTCATCGTAAACACACTGATGGGTTTCACTGATAAACTGTGACAGTTTGTTATTTTTGGGAGGGAAGAACAAATTTCTACGTACTCATAAATGCATATTCTGTCACCTACATCAAGGTTTGACCATATCTATCTATTTCACGTTTATTTATCTGACGGTTTAAGACATAATTTAATAATTCCCATTGTAGCATTAAGAACACAATATTCAGCGAAGAGACTCTTTTCAACGAATTTATTATCAAGCTGTACAATCGTATATATATGGTTTTTTGAGAAAGTATATCCGGTGAGGGAATTAGGTCAAAAGTGTGAATACAGGAAATAATAATAGTATGAAATGCAATTAAAATATTTGTGATTATTATCATAGTTTAATGTCAAGTGGCACAATAATTAATGTCGTATATAGAATAATACATAAGGTGTATAGATTTTGGAAAAGGGTAGATAATTATAAGATTAGTAGACGAATATAAAATATTACATAACATGGTATGAAATTTGATAAGACAGAATTCAATATTGTAAAAAATATAAAAATATGAAAATTAATAATTTTAGGTTTAAAATGTCAAGTGGGTCAAGTGAAAAAGATTCAGAGTGAGAATAGTAATAATAATAATGATAATAATATTAATAATAATAATAGTAATAAGGGAAGAGTACATAGAATAACTAAATAAACAAAATAAATAAATGTCTATCCCTCTACGGCCAAGGCAGAAGTAGGGATTGTACATACTTCTTTTGTACACAAAGGTCTGGCTTAAAGTCATGAATTGCCAAGGCCTCAGCTGTCTTTAGAAGTCTGTAACGAATAAAACGCGGGAAGCTAGCATGGATTCTATATATGATCTTAAAATCATGTTCAGGGTTAACAGAGTAACAGAAGTCGATCAGGTGTTCCAAAATAGAGCTTCTCACACACTTCCTTTCTCCCTTATAAAACCAAGCTGGAATATGTTCTCGTATCCGTGTGGACATGTTGGTAAGCCATTCAAATGCATACGATTATCAGTGAATGAGAAATTGAACGCATTCACTCGGATGTATTTCTGAATGGCATAGTAATATGCTGCACACTTCAGCATTAATCCGAACTTAAGATAATTTATGAATTTATTTTTGTTTCAGAACAGTCGCTATCGTCTTGTATGCTGCTTTACTGCTAATTCAAAAGCTGAGAACCACTTTTCCACTGAACTACATATTATTGATCATGGTGGTAAGTTGAAATGTGATTGGAAAATAGATGAACATGTCATGCACATTCTATGTCAGATGATAAATAGAATGAGTATTGCCGTAATTCTGCATCACCATGCTTAAGAATGAGTGACTACAAATATTTCAACCAGAGGTGAATGTATCTATGCTTAGGTGTTTTGCATAAATTACATCACTCAATAACTCTTTATAATATCTCAATCTCTGCTAATTATTTGCTCATTGTATCAACGGTAAACAAGAATCATGTCATCCGTCTGAGATACTGACATTTGCATTGCAGTAGATGTTCTAAAAACAAGAACCATTCACTAGTTCTTTCATAGGATCCTTTGTACCCTATGCGGATTACCTTGACTATCACATTGACTGCTTCTATCTTATGTTACAATCTCATCTATTTTTTTTATTACGGCTTGATTCCACACCGTATATTTGGTACAGGTATGAAATTTTCAGCATGTCATATCGGTAGCCCAAATTTTTACAGGCCGACCATTGATATCAGGTGTGCATTGGCAGCGGATCGAACCCCCGACCATGTGTATGGTCAGCGAGAGTTCTAACCGCTGTGCTTCCGACGCAGTATATACTGCATAGACTTCAAGCGTCAGCGTTTCTTAGTGAACAATTCTTCCCTCTAAACAGGAAATATTCAATTCACTTAAACCATGTTCTTCATTACTGAATCAGTCGATGATTATTTGGTTAAACTCAAAGGAGGAGTATCCATTAGGCAAGAATAATTTTACAGATGTTCTGTCTGCTATGCTCTTTGTAGTGTGTCACTATTTACAATGATTAGCTGTCTGATTTTAATGAGTGACGAAAATCGTCATAACTCAGCATTCATAGCACTTTGGTAATTTTGAAAGCTGAACATATATGTCTCTTTACTTTAAAAAACATGTTGGTCTTCTTATCTTTGCTTTTTAAAATCGGAATAGTAAATTATAACCTCAAATTCCCTTATTTCTTCGTTCAGGTTATTTCACTTCTTATGGGTGTAGGATTGTTGTATAAAGACCTACAGTCTCTTGGTATCTCAGTTGGTGTTACCCTTGTGGTCTCAGTGATAATAATATTTACCTGCTGGAATTTGAATACTCTGACAACGAAGGCAATTATCGTGCTTATCTCAGTGGCAACTTTATTCGCTATTGCGGGATTTTTGCTGCTTATCCTCAAGAAAAAAGATGTGAGTAATATGGAATTAAAGCAATGAATAGATAAATATTCTTATTACTTATTTAGCCTTAAGAGGATTCTTCTCAGCTTCTAGTAAGCTGAGAAAATCTCAAAATTTGCCATCCTTTGATATCCGAAAAAATTTCTGGTAAGCTCATAAACTTATGAAACTATTGTGCACACCCTTAAGTATGCTTATGAATAAAATGAGTGAGGGTTAGTCAAGTGGTTAACTATGAGCGGTCAGTAAACTCAACTCGTTCAACTGACGTAAGTTGACCAACTCTCATGGATGTGACTACCAGATTACAATTGTTAGATTTCAAGATAGAGAAAGGCCATCAGTGTGACCTTAGTGAAAGGAAACAGTTCAAGCAAAGAGAGAACAAATATATTTTCAGGATAGATAAGGCTCTGTACTGATTTGACTGTGTTTCTTCAGCTAATAACAGATTAATATGAAAACATGCTCCAATCTCAATTATAGTTATATATCAATAGTTTACACACAAAACATAACTGTAATTATTTGATCTATTCCAAAATCCACTTGTATTTCACTGATATCAGTGCTCCAAAATTATTTCAAGACAAAAGATTTTTAATAATCCCAAGCAGAATAATGGGACAGGAAGTGTTGATACACAGTATTAATTAAGTGAACATTCAAAGCGTATTAAAAGATAACATTATCGCACTCTTGATCCACTTAATGATTCTTCTTCCTACTCAAGTTGGACAGTGCTCAAGAAGACATTCCTAGTCGTTATACCTAAGTAAGTGTCTTTACAAAAGCAGTTTATTTTACAAATGCACACACTAGACGAACAAAATTTTGTTTTCACTTCACTTATCAAAGGTTCCTTAGCATTCGTCATCAGTCATCTAACGTGATACTTCTTCTTCTCCGTCTCGATCTAGCTACCGTTTCACATTCTCGCGGGTATACTAATATGCTCTGCAGCAGTTCTTGTAAGTTTCACATTATTTTCACAACTTGAAAATATTTTTATGGTTCACCAATATACTGAGTATGTTGTCGTATGTGAGTATCGACCCTGATTTTGATTAAATTAGGTATTGCCTACATAAGGTGAGATGCCCTATGACTCAACGAAATCAAACTGCTCAAACGTTGTGTGACACCTAACTCCCTAAACCCACTTGACATGTATGTCTGTTTAGACAAGTTATCATAACCCGTTCTTTGTACATGGTCTTCTGTCTCAAAAAAAACGTCACCTTCAATTATCACCTTCCACAGTATTCCTGAAATATAAAACCTCAGTCAGACTGCGGAGAACGATTTTTGTGGCGTAAAGGCAGTATATTTGTCACTGTAAGCTAAAAATTGATGATCGTGTGTGTAAACTTCAAATGTAATGCCAGAAGAACATAAGGACATGTGCAATTCTTTTCAAGATGTTAATGTCCACTTAACAAATAATCTCAAACCAGTTAGGAAGTGGAGTAAATATTGATGTAAACATTGGAGAATCTCATTTATAAAATTATATTTGTAAAATCTCAGCGAAATTGAAATGATTAATTCCAACGTTTCGTTCGGCAATCTGGTCCGAACTTCTTCAGGGAAATTAATCGAATTAAAATAACAGAGGTTTATATATAAAAGGAACAACTCATGTTTTTAAAATTTGTCCAATCATGAGTCATGCAACAGGCATCAACATGTATAATAAATAAATAAATAAAATAGTATGTTTATATATAAAAGTAAACCTCTTGTTTTAAATTGTTTATCCTGTCATGTGAATCAAGAAACAGCTATCAATAGGAATAATAAACAAAACAAAATTTTTTATATGAACTGTGATCACTCTTGAATCAAATAATTATCCTAAAGCTTTCTTAAATAGATATTTAAAATGTGAAGATAAGGATGAATCAAAACCTAATGATGAAGCAGTGATTCCTTACCGCAAAGAAACATCCGACGAAATAAAGCGAATCCTTAACGATCATAACATACGAGTGTATTATCGTGCATCAAACACCTTACGCTCATTACTGGTTAAGGTTAAGGATAAAAAAGAACAAGAAAACCAGCAGAATTGTGTATACCAGATCAATTGTGGGGATTGTAACGCCGTATATGTAGGAGAAACTTCCAGACAGGTAAATGTAAGAGTGAAAGAACATAAACAATGTCTAAAGGTGGTTCCAAAGACCTCTGCAGACTTGAAGAAGCTAGAAAACAATTCAGCGATTGCACTACATTCGATAGAAACGGGACACAAAATCGACTTTGATAAGACTAAGGTTTTACAGAAAGGTTTTGGTTCATATAAAGAAAGACTGATTGCAGAAGCCCTACATATATGGGTGAATCCCAACAGTTTGAACAGACGTGAAGGTGTGATCTTAGCTGATGCATGGCAAATCCTGACTAATAAATAAATTGGATATGTATCAACAACTAGTCACACTTGATCAAATTCCCGATTGTCTACGTCTTCTTAAGGAGAGGATAACAAATTTATAAAATTATATTATATTTGTGAAAAATCTCAATTATTTTGTAACTATCCGGTCAAATCTTGATCACAGTTCATATGAATTGGAGAATCTCATTTAGCCAAATACATCAGATTTTCTACTTCATGAAATATTGTTTTATAACCTTGAAAATAGCTATAAAACTTTGAAGAACATGCCAGAAGCCGAAGAATGAGGGAAATAATATGTAATATTCAGCTATCAACATTGAGATATACACACTCCTTTAATTATTATTACTACAGTTCATTATGTCAGTTCCCAGTGGAACAGTGAACTTCGACTGTATATCTCCATTCTGCTGGGTTCTCAGGTATCCCTAACAGTTGGCTATATGCCTGCTCACAAGCCTCCCAAGCATCCTCAAATAGCCTTGCCCAAATCACCACCGGAAAACCAGACCGTCGACTTGCATTCATATTCCACTCAGTGATCTGCTCAGCATGAAGTACCACTCAACAGTCTATTTAAATTGTGCTCAATTCATCACTAATCCCATCTGCACATATGTCGTTTATCAGTTTTCTGCGTGCTGGTAAACTGCAAAAGTTTCCTCTTCCTTATACCTTATGGCTGACTATTTGGTCACCAGTCTCGAGACAGCGAAGGTGACTTTTGAAAAAATTCTGCAGTCAGTTGAAAACGATTTCTATGATGTACATCTCTAGTCTCTGAACCATAAGGAAATTCCCACTTGAGATTATAGTTCAAAATTGTGTTCTTGTTAATTGTCCTAAGTGCTATAGGACTGCTCATTTATTTTAGAGTAGTGTCTTCTCCTCCTACCCCATCCTAGCTAGCTATCACAGCCTCGTCCATTGGGTGTGGAACCGAAAAGATGAAAGTGATTTAAAGAAACTGTTTCCTTAGTATTCATCCGATACAGGATGACGAATGCTGCATTGAGGAAGAATTCTGGTGATTTCCTATTGAATTTATTGTTACCAAATGCGTCCCATGCTAACAGTATTTCTAATTCTCCTCTTTCTTTTCTTCAGATTTTGTTCTCTATGGCGTGTGGACTCAGAAAACGCATTCGAAAATTACCATCCACCTTTTTGAAGTTGATGGAAATGTTGAATGTACTCGTTGCAGTTATTGGAATGTTCGTAGCAGTATCAGTGTGCTTTGTCTAAGGCAAGAACGTATATACACAAAACCCAAACTTTTCATTCATTATGTCATTTATTAAATAATTTAACACAGTTACATCACTTTCATATGTTAACTCAGACTTCATATAATTTTATTCAAGTGATTGCATAAATTTTTCATATTTTTTTTTAATTTACGAGAAGTATAAGTTAACAGTTTCCAACTAGTTGAGTCGCCATATACGATCGTAAGAATTAAGATAGAGTATACAAGAAGACTTTTATAAATGATTTGTGATCTCTGAGTAAGATTCGGGTAGTCAAATATCGCTAATCTATCTGACGATTTTAGCAAAACACAAATGTGGTTAACTACAGCTGGTGCGATGTATGTTATTTGTGATTACGTCATTATCAAATTACCAGACAAATTTATATTGCGTTCTCTATCGCTTAGCTAAAATGCTTCCGATAAATGAATATGAACCCAATGTTTTGTGTGACAGATTCAACTAAAGACATTACAATCTCCACTGGATGATGTTGAAGACCTATGTATTTTCACATGGATGCAATTGTAGATATGAAGAAATGTCTTTCCCTGTTTCTATCAGTGACTATGACAACATAAACCAGATGGAAGTAATATCTGTTGCTTATGAAGCAATTTTCGAACCATAACAAAGAAAGCACTCATCCCAAACAACATATATCAATTCAATAATGAATGATAAATTCGTTGTGTTTGCATGTTTCAATATTGATTTGAGAGTGACTGACGGGTTGTTTGAACCCCAATACTTACAGTAGATGCATTATTGATGATTATTTGCCTCACTGAAGGTGATGAGTATTCTCGCCGTCTTCCACATGATCTAGTCCACTGTAGTCACGAAGATCATCTTTGATAGTAGGCAACCTTACCTCATATCCTCTCTTCATATGACAAGCTTAGCTTTTCGAATCTCCTGACAAGTGACATCATTACATAGGAACTGAATGCAGTTAAACAATATTTCCTAAACTACATTTTGTAGTCTGGATTGTTTTGCGAATTATTTCACGATTGGCGCTTTCAAAAACCTTCACAGAGTCAATCGAATGAGGTGCAGGGTTAACTAATGTTTTGAAGTCTGTTCGATGATTATGTGTTTTGTCGCAGTGTAGCCGCACACAACTTCTTTGTCACTTGCATATATATATATATATATATATGTACGTTTTGCCCTATATTAATGAATCTTTCAACATTGTTCAATGATCACTGAAAGACATTCAAACATCTGATTTTGTGTAATTTTGTCACTGAGCCACTGGATGTGCTGTGGTGTTTGATGTCTTCTACTGCGCTATCCAGATCTAACTCGTAATTCAATTTTGGTCAGAAACTGAATTCAGATACACAACCACTGAAAAACAACAGGTAGTACTCGACAGATTTTTTCTTTTGTGTTAGACCTCTTGGCAGTGCCAACAAAGACACCAACAAGGATCAAACCCAGAAACTTCGGGTTACAAAGCGATCCCGTTGGCTATTCAGCAGTTGGAGTGGAATTCAACGGCCTTTCATCATTTAGTTTGGTATAGTTAACATTTTCACATGTAAAAAATGCTGTCTGTCAGAACAAAGAAGAGACTCGAAGTTCAAAGATATCACGAATCCATTAGAGATAGTCACTTCTAGCATACAGTCGACGATATATATATATATATCAAGTATTGGTTTTGTAGGGATTTTGTTTGATTGGTTGCAGGACTTCATCATGAGCTGACAGGGAGTACTGGAAAGCTATTTCGTCCGAGTTTGGGACTCTTCATCAGTACGCACCCACTGATGTCAGCTCATGATGAAATCTTCAAACCAACCAATAAATTCCATAGAAAAAAAGCAATACTTGAAAATTAATCTGATTCTCACTTGCAGCTGGCCCTATTCAGGCAGTCACCTGGGGTTCTAGTTGTAAGTCGTGACCAGTAGGGTACAGCAGGTTAAAGGTGAGGCAATAACTCACCGAAGCAGAAGACATTTTGAAGTGGTCGCGCTACGTCATGAATCGGCAGAAGTTAGAATTCATGGACTAACCATTGGATTGAGTCCCAGTGGCTTAATGGTCTACGAGCTAGCACTGTAACCATAAGGTCTTGGGTTCGAACCCCGGTGTGTGCATAATGCCGAAGAGTCACAATATTTGCTGACGAAATAGCTGTCCAGGACTCCCTGCAGGTTTTCCAATGGTTCTTTAATTGATGTCAGCTCATGATGAATTCCTCCAAACAAAATAATAATTACTTGATAACAGGTTCGAGGGTGTTTATTAACCATATGCGTGATAGATTATGGAGAGATCTTCATATATCCTAAATTAGCCTGAGTGGCAGACTGGCATTTTTTATCCATGCTAATTCACAATGTCATGGTATAATTTTTCTGGCTGATATAATACCCTCATAAATGTCTTCACATACTAATTGATCATTAAGCATTCTTTCTGAATATAACGTCATTTTCCTTCTAACAACTTCAGCCGAACTTCCCTAAGTAATCTCAATTAAGATTTAATTGATGCCTGAAATCGTGTTTCACACTATCTTTGTGGAATACTTGGCATCAATGATAAATGTGGCTGAGGCTTTGTCACGGCTTGTTTACAATACTCCTTCGCTACAACTCCTTATCTTTAACTACTAATTTTCAAAAAATCTCTACCTTATTCTTGGAAACACTCACGAATCTTAATAACTTTGTCATTATTCTACTAGCTTTTATATATTTCAAGTGGGAATTTATTGGAAACATTCAGTTAGCGAGTAGTAATTATATAACAATAGTAAAGGAAGACGTTGAAAGGACTCCCTCCGCGACATATTGGAGGTCGGCATTTGTCAACAAAACAAGTTCTACCAAAGATCTCTGTGTAATCACAGCATTATATAAAATAAGATCTGTATAATGAAAACATCATAACGAACACCGAAATGCAACGCGTAATACAGTGGTGGAATTACAGAACCTCATTAGATTAATAAAATCTGACATGTATGTAGCGTTTCTGAATAAAGAGGTTCGGTCTCAGATCCCTAATAGCTAATGCTTCAGCTTTGTACAGATGGCGTATGCGAAGTCCCTTTGTACGATATTGAGAAGCAGTGTGTAGCACTGTGAAGCATTCATGCGCGGGTGCTCGATATCCAGAGATTACAGGGTGTTCGAGGATGAGGCTGCTACTGTTCTTCTTTTCTCCTCTAGCCAAACAAGCCGGACAACTTTCCAGAATACGTTTGCGGAGTTGACGTTGCACAGGGCCAATATGCTTTGCTCCACATGAACAAGTAAACTGATAAAAATACATTGAAGTGGCCAAAAGCGTTATCTTGTCTTTAAAGTTAGACTGAATAAATTGTTTCGCTAGAGACTGTGACGTGTAAGGTTGCTGCTTGACATGTCTTCTTCAGAAATTTAGAAAGGCGGTTTGTCAGAATTTCTGCTTCGATGTCACCTTTGAATTCCAGGTTCATGAAGAGATTTTTCTTAGGAACAGTTGTAATTTTTGGTGACGGAAGCTTTTCTTTCATGACTTTGTTGATGAATCTTGGTGGATAGCCGTCCTCTAGTAGGGCTTCACACAGTGAATTTAACTTCTCTATCGTGTCTTCCCAACAGATTTTTCTAATCCTTGAAATTAATGTACACACAAGGTTTCGCTTTCGCACCAGTGGGACGAAGCATTGGAAGTTGATAAACTGTCCTGTCCATGTTAGCTTGCGATGTATCGATCTTTGCATAGCACAGTACAGTACATCTAGGAATGGAAATGACATGTTCGATTCACGTTTTAAGGTTAGTTGTATTGATAGGTGTGCTGCGTTGAAGGTTTTGAAGAGATACTCCAAATTACATTTTTCATGACAAACTATGAACGTATATTCTCCTTTTTAGGTGTAGCTGACTATTCGAAGGATCGAGGATGTTGTTTTCGAGACTGGCCATGAAGCAGTTAGCTAGGAGTGGGCCGAGAAGAGACCCCATAGCTACGCCATCTTTCTGTACATAGAATTGTATATTGAATTTGAACTGCATATTAAACGTACATCTGATAAGCAGTTCCTTGAGGTAATTGATAAAAAGAGGAAGTAATATGAGGGAGAAAAGAACAAGATGTTCAGCACAGATTTCTTTTTAGGGATTCCATCCTCAACAGATATACAATCGAATATCTATAAAGAAATGTTCACATAGATACAATTATTATCTAATCCCACATAATAACGAAGAATACTAAAGCCGATAATAATTTTCAAATTGAATATCCTGGGTAAAAATAGATACCGTGTTTTTTTGTAGGGAAGAAAGTGGGACCAAAGCTAGAAAGAGTATAATGCGCTTTGGTCCTACAGAAAACACTGTTTATGAACCTGGAATATTGGTGAAAATTAGAGGCAGGTATTCTTAAGATGAGAATCTCTAGTCCCCTTAAAGAATGCCTTTCCTGTAGCAACTCTAATAGTGATATCCTCCAGCCACACACTGCTTCTAAGCAATATGAATGACAAACTCCAGCATCTGACCACTCCAATGTGCACACATCATTTCACCTATTCGTGTGGAGCTAGGCATATGGTTCATTCTATGCAGATCCTTTCAAAACGTTTTAGGGAACATTAACCAACATGATTGCAAGGACATGGCACTGGTTCGGTCAGTAGGGCTACAACTGAACACCTCGTCAACACCTGTCACAGCATCTCAACTAACTCATCATTCACAGTCATTTACAGAGTCATCAAAATTCTGCCAAAAGCAGCGTGTTTTCGACTCCTTTGTACTGTAGAATCCATCGTCATTTGCATCGTAAAACCGAATTTACGCATTCAAAAGAAACCAGACCAACCTCCACATTTACCAGAGATCTAGTTCGGTTCGACTCCTTAGTTCTCGTTTGTCGTATTTTTGTCCTGTCCATTTTTTTCACTTCATTTATAAGAACTGTTATTTGTTACCATGTCCGCTCACATCTGTATTCATTTGGAAAAAGCGTTTTCTA